CCCCCCTGCCCCCCCCGCCGCCCCCCTCTCTGCCCGCCGCTCAAACCTCGAGGCCAAACGCACGTTTCGATTGGAGTGGGGCCCGCTGAAAGTGGCCGGAGTAGTAGGGCCCCTCTCCAAGCATAACGAGAGGTATTCCCAGCACACCTGAGAGCCCGCAGAGCTGAAACTCCACTCGGCTTGTGCACTTATACCACCGTGAATCCTCAGTTTGGTGCTACGAAATTAAATCTCAAGCCCATTTCACTTCGGCTAGGAATGTTTTAGCGATTCTCAAACGTCATGACGACTAAGTACTCACACATTAATGGCAATGTAACGTGATCAGTCGCTCGGGATCGTCAACAGTGAATGAACAATTCGGTATTTTTCTTGTTTGAGCAACTAGTCAACTAGTGTGATTGAGACGAGTAACAGTAGAAAGAGCGGTATGGGGTTCAACATGACAGTGCATGGGACAGGATTTAGTGCGTTTATCAGGAACATGTGGTGGCTGCTCTTCTTGCTCAGTCTGGGACAGGTAAAACACATTTTTCGTTTTACTTATTCGGCCGAATGTCTTTCGCATCAACCGAATTCATCGTAAAAACGCGATACAAATGAAAACGAAAAAAAAAATACAAGAAAAATGGGAGAGATCTGAGACAAATCGTATGAGGGATTCAAAAAGTTAAAGGACCTCTTCAGGGAGTGTTAACGCCTGCAAAATACGTCATTTACCGTTTTTTGATGGACCCGAGTTTCATTGAGAAAAACCGAGTCAACTTTTTCCTCGGCGCGATAAAAACAAGATTCGCTTTAAAAAAACAGGTTTGAGACGAGTTTTAGATGACGGATTACCTAATCCACGACTTTACGCAATTTTCTTATGATGAATTTGTTTGTTCGCACTGCTCAAAGCGATTAGTCACGGGAAGATTCAGCATTCTTGGGGACTGGGATTCCGAGAGTTCTTCGGGGCGCGGTCGTGAGGCTTTTCCGGCGATTGAAAATACTTAATGATGATATTGTTAACCGCTTTGAGGTCCGTTCAATCGTCATTGTTCCGTTGATTTGGAGATGTTGGAAACTACGGATCGGTTTGTTTGGGTTTACGGGTGGAAGAGAAAGGAAGAGAAATGCCGCCTTTTTTTGTCTCGGGGGGTTTCTTATTGAGGGGTACTGTTACGCGCACGTGGGGCGATTACATGATTATATATACTGTAAATTGAGTACAGAGTGAAGTGAGGACACCTCATGGACATTGTAATGCCGCCCACTGATTGTGTCAGCCCACGAGTCGTGGGTTTTTTTCTATCGCTCGGCTTTTTTCGTTTTGTTTAATTTGAACTCTTTGTCGCGCGGTTGTGCGCGTTTTTTATGCACCTCCGGAGAAAACTATACCGCGTTTTGTCCCGCCGGGACATACGGCTATGTCGCTCGCCTTGAGATGCATCGCGGCGTAGGAATTATTCGGTCTCAGGCAAAGGAACGTATTATTTACCGGGAATTTGGAACGTGAGACTTTTCCCTTTTTTCTGCTTTTTCGAAATTGGTGGGTTGTGTCGTCTTCATTCTGAGGCGAAAAATTGCGTAATTAATTGGAAAATTGTGGGGTGAAAATGCGGATTTTTTTTTCTCGTGGGAAAATGAAAATTGCATTTGTTGTTTGAGGGAATTATTTTTTATGGGAAAATTTGATTTGGTAGGAGGCGAGTTTGGTTTTAATTATTTATATTCTTAATTCTATTAATTTGTCGTTAACAAGTAAAATCTTTGCGATTTTCTTCGCTTCAACTATAAAAATTATTCAGTTGAGTCGTCTTTATTCCATTCGTTGTTTTTTATTGGTTATTCCATTTGTTACGTACGTGAATTATTTTTTATGAAAAGAGTACTTGTAGCAGAAGACGAATTTATTTTCAATTATTTTTATTCCCAAATTTTATATTTTTATGAGTAAAAAAATTAAAAAATAACGAATTTTTCTTCTTTATCTGTTTAAAAAACGAATCCTTGAGATGCGTCGTCTTTATTATGCAGCGAAAATTGCGTAATTAATAGAGAAATACTGCGATGAAAATAGGCATTTTTTCTTCTCATGGGGAAAAAGAGAATTGCACTCGTTCTTCAGGAAAATTATTATTCAGTGCAAAATAATCTGCAGGAGAAGGCTGGTCTCAATTTTTTCCCCCCAGTTTTTATCTACTTATCATTGAAAACTGAACCTCTTGGAATGTTTCTTGCTTTATTTTCTCTCGAGACGAAGTAGTGATTGGACTCGTCGTCATTCTCTACCAAGAAATTCCATAATTAATTGAAAAATAATGGCATGGAAATGTGAAATGTTTCTTATTCTCATGAGAAAAAAGAAAATTGCACTTGTTATTCAACAAAATTATTATTCACAGCAAAATGACTTCTTTCCAATTATTCCCCCCTCCAATTTTCGTCAGTCAATTACTGAAAAGGAAACGTTTTACCATTTTTTCTCCTCTACTTTTTCAAAATGAATTATTGAGTTTAGTTGCTATCAATCTGCAGCGAAAAATTTCCCAATTAATTCGAAATTAATAAGATGGAAATGCGAAATGTCGTTCATTCCCACGAAAAAAAATCCGCTCGTTACTTAACAAAATTATAATTGAAGAAATTGCACTGAAAATAGTTATTGATAAAAATTTTTCTCCGTCCAGTCTTATTTATTTAAAAATCGCTGATCGTTTCGTCCATTTTCGAACATTTTGCAACATTGTCTCCCTCAAATCCCTCAAAATGGCATAATTACTGCGAAACGAATGCAATTAAACTGCGCAGGCATTTAAGAAAATAGCGCTCATTCTGCAAAATTATCGTGTATGCATTGCGACGTACCCCACGCCTCGAGGCGATCCTCCGCGCCTTTTTTCTCCCAATGTTATTTGTTAATTATTCTCGAAAAAAAAAATCCCGGGGGCTTTTGTCAGGATAACCCTCGCCAATACTCGTTTCGAGATTGTTGAACGTCTTGCACTGAGATTTATGATCCAGTACAGAGAGAATGCAATATCGCACACACGTCGTAAAATTCCAGTTCCCTCCCCCTTTTTTAAACTAACAAAAATGGCTTAAGCTGTTGATCGTCTCGTCCTCCCCACCCATCGTTTTGCGGGCCAACATGCAATTCTTATTTAGCAGTCGGTGGGTCTACCCTTTTATGGGAATGCATCACCAAAACCAGTTTCAAAGTGAGTGGAGACAGACTTTCGCTCTTTTGAGATACGCCAGGGAGAGAAAATAAAGATAAACGAGATAAAAATATGGTGAGAGAACAAACGTACGTATGAGTATTATCCACATGAATAGGAGGCGAATCCTCGACTACACCTTTGAACCAGAGGGTGCAATGACTCTTTGAACCTTTTTAACTTTATTTATTTTTTGTCTCGAATGTACAGTCACGAAGGGTTACCATCCTTACCACGATGCTAAAGGCAATATCGAAGTGGTTCTCGGGTTTTATCCAACAAGGTTAACAACCCCTTCAGCCACATTTCGTCTACAACCACAGAAATGACGCATTTGCAGCGAAGGAAACTCTTCTTTCGAAATTTTTCATTTATTCGGTGCGATCATTTTTTAGAGAATGGTTTCGTGAAAGGAGCTATTGTTCTTGAATAAAGAAATTATTTAATTTTAACTGAATATTGTTCATGTCTCGTTATTACTTTTTGTCATATTTCCTGATTATAAATCGAATTTGTGGTGAAAAACATGGAATTTTTTTTGAGAAATCCAATAAGAAACCGTGAAAATTAATTGCCACGCCTAATATTTGAGAAAGGATCGCGTCTTAAAAATTGGAATTTCATTGACAGTTTAATAGTAATTTTTAAGAGTGCGACCTTGAATTCTATTTCGGGGAAAAAATCGTGAGATTTCATATTTCAGTGAAAACGCAATGAAATTCCAAATTTTCGAACAGCAGGAAGACGACAATTCGCCAGCTCAATTAAATGTTGAATAAAACGATGAATATTCAGTCCAGGTTAATGAAAAAATTAATTTTCATAGAATAATTGAAGTGAAAATGACCATTTCCATTGAATTCTCCGCCACGTTGTGAATTTTATGTGATTCAATTTCCCTGAAATTTCAGGGGAACTCACTGTTGAAAATTTTCAACCGAAATTTAATGGAATTCTGTCATTAGAAGTTCAGTTCATCTATTCTATAAAAACTACATAATATTAATATCAATTTATGTTCTTGAATTTTCAATTCCTTCAAAATTCCGCGTGATTTAGTACTGAAAATTCATGTTTTCATTAATAATTCAAGTATGCTAAAACATTTCGTCTTCCAGTAGCTGAAAAAACCTGAAAATGAATTAAATATTTAGTGAAATTGAAAATTTTACAATTTGTTTTCCCCCTAAATCGAATTCAGCTCATTCAATTGTGCTCTAACAAAACTGTCGCCTGCATAAAACGTCAAAAATTCCAACCATTTATTGCCCTTTAAACCCTCTCAATTTAACTTCCCTAAAAACAGAAGTATAAACCGAGTTTAAATTTAGATAAAAGTATTATCGCGAGAGCCATCCCAACAAACCCATCTATCTAATTCAAATAAACCACGTCCCTGGGTGTATACATCACATCAGTCGAGTGGAGGTCTACGATTGGCCCTTCACCGCTTAAAAATCATCGTAAAACCTGTACTTATTTTTCTCCCCTATTCCAATCATCAATTCTTTTCTCCTTTTTCCGT